ATTGCTCAGCTGCCCCTGTCTCCACTCACCCAGCCACAAGTTCACCAAATTTCTGGGAACCAGCCTGGTTTGGAGCCGCCTGTGCCTATGCAACCTGCCCGGAGATCCTTAAAAGAGGCTAAAGTTTTAGGGGTAAGTGAAATTTCACACTGTGTTCACTGGCCACATGGCTGGAGCCAGAGGTGGGAGGAGGTTTGGAAAAACAGAAACTCCAAATCCAGCAAGTGGGGCTGGAGCTGACCCAGCCTTGCCAAACTCAGGTCTATTAAGAAGCTCAGCTCTACAGCATTACCAGGGCCTCCGTGTGGGACCTTGTATTATCTATCTTGGGCATTTTAGTAAAAAGAAAGAAAAGCAACAAAGAAGCAGTAAATTGGAATGTTGGTCTTGTGGCCAGAATCCATGTTGACCCATTTGGCCTCTGGAAGAAGGTGGGTCCAGTGAATCAGAAGGTGGATTCTAAACCCAATGTGCTTGAATGGAATCTCTCTCCAATGTGAATAAGATATAAACTTTTGATGATTTCCCCCCAAAAGGCTGTCCAGGGTGGGGCCAGGGAAAGCCCATCTCATTGCTTGGGTGAAAGAAGACACTCATGGACTCTTTTTGTTGTTGTTGTTAATTTTCACCTGAGGATAGTTCTCCATTGATATTTTAGATTATTGATTTCAGAGAGGGAGAGACAGAAACATCAATGATGAGAAAGAATCATCAACCGGCTGCCTCCTGCATGCCCCACAATGGGGATTGAGCCCGCAACCTGGGCACGTGCCCCGACCGGGAATCGAACCGTGACCTCCAGGTTCATAGGTCAACACCCAACCACTGAGCCACGCCAGGCCCAGTCAACCTGTCTTTGATAAATAAATAATGCACATTCATTCAAGAGGCATGGGCCAGAATGGACAGGAAATGCTAACAACAATACAGCTAACATTGCTGCAGCACTTATTTTGTGCCAGGCACTGTGTAGATGTTGCACAACAAGCCTATGAGGTAGATGTTTTAATTGTCCCTAATTTTCAAATGAGAAACAGACCAAAGAGGTGAAGTAACTTGTGCAAGGTTGCCACCCATCTGGGCTAGGCTATCTACCCTTACAAGAACAAGAACAACAACAGAATTATACCAAACAACCAAAAGTAAACTCACACAGCCGACTCCTTTCCAAACACAGGTGTGCTAGGTGCTACAGTAGAATGAAAGAATCAGCGAAAACACTTCTCTTCCTATAGACGCAAATAGGAGGAGACCAGCTTTGGACAATTCTGCCCCCAAAAGGACTCCAAATTGGGACTTCCCGCTTCCATATTTTCAATAAATAAAACCCATCAAGATCTCCCTGCAACATTTTACAGAAAGTAGCAACTCCCTGGCCCAGCCTCCAAGACTCTGCACTCTCGGGCCCTAGTTCGTGCCTCAGGACATTTGCACTACAGGCTGCTTCCACTGAAGTACCAGCTAACTTCTTCATTACTTCTTCAGGTCAGAAGCCACTTCATGGAAGTGGAGTTAATCCTACACTCTGAGATTCCCAGACTGCTTCTTCATTCATGGCAACATTCTCATCATGGGCATCTCTCTGCAGGTTTCACCCCCAGGACAATCACATAACGCCTGGAGAAGAACATCCCTTTCTGGAATTACAGACCAGGATTTAAATCCTGTTCTCTATTTACAAAATGTGTGACCTCAAGCAAGTCATTTCAGCTCTGTGAGGCTTACTTGAAGAGATGACACAAGTAAAGCACAGTGCCAGCATTATTAAGTGCATTACCATTATTATCCCCATTATACAGACAAGTAATTGAGACTCCAAGTGGCCAGATACCAAAGGTCACAGAACTGAAAAGTGGGTGGTAGGGGTCAGTGCTTGGAAGCCAGTGCTTTTCCTTTCCTCTACAATTCTTTATTGAGGACCATTAGTAAGCTCCATGCTTGGGGCTGAGGACACAGCTGTGAATATGGTAGACATGTACCGTATTCTCATGGTGCTTACATTCTGGCAGGGAAGATGGCCATCAAGCCTTTATGCAGATAAATTGAAAAGTACTTGAAGGAGAAGAGCAGGGTGCCTGAACCCATAGAGGTTTTAGAGCAAGGAACAAGATCCCTGGATTTTGTCTGGAAGCTCAGGGAAGATTTCTGCGAAGCGCTGGCATTTAAACTGGGATCAGGAGGCAGTACAGATGTTTGGAGATGAGGATGGCAGCTGGCATTTCAAGCAAAGAGCCTCTTAAGAGAAAGACTGAGGAAGCATGGCAAATCTGAGGAGCTGAAAGGCCAGAGGAGGCTGGAGATGGAGCTGGGGCCAGATGAGAGGACCACTGAAGGGCAGGGTAAGGATGATGCCCATCCTAGAAGCAATAGGAAAGCACCACAAGCTTGGCTGCCCTGCTGAGACGGTAATGAAAAGCGCACACTGACTGGATGTGGCAGTGCAGACTTCTGACACCGTGTGAGCCACAGGAAAGTCTCTGGGAGACAGCCTGGACCACTTCTTTTCACTGCACAACTGATGCTGCCACTGAAGTACCAGGCACTGATTATTATAGCTGGGTGTGTACCTCCTTCACTGCACAGGAGTTTTTGAAGAGTAAAGATCTGTGTATCTTTCCATCTCTCAAAACCAAATGCTCAATAAAGCTACAGATTAAAACAGACCTGCTTTTAATAACTAAAAATCTCTTCTTATATTTAGATTGGCCGAGTAAGAATCTTCTCGCCAATTCAATCCACCTTAGTGATACAGATCTGAAGGGATATGCAAGGACGTTAGAAAAAAGTTCCACTTTCCATTTGCAGCTTAATTTTAACAACAAAAACCCATTTCACCAATGTGTGATTTAAAGTATAATTATATTTTAGGAAAAATTAGTTGGACAGTTCATAATTTTAAAAAAATCTTGGTTGAATTTTAACCATGAACAAAATGCTCCAACAGAAGATCTTTCAGTGATTTTCCAATTCTTCTGAGAATTGTTCAGATTCTTTCTTTGAATATTTCATTACTCTGATATTAAAAGACAGAACTGAGCCATAATCAATAGT